TCTTAATACCACTGTGCTTTTATTTTGACCTTTTCATAGGGATTTGTTTATAAATTATAGTATTTTCTTTTTTTGTTTCTTTCATTTTAAAATTTCTGTTAATGTTTTCTATAAATTTAGAAAGATTTATTTTGGTGCGTAAAAAATATGGATAATGGGTATGAAAGTTCAAAAGTTGTCGATAAATTAGTAGGTAATATCAAATTCAAACATTCAAAATTGTTGCACAACTTTTTTTGGTTACATTTCTAGTCTATAGTCTAGTCTATAGTCTAGTCTATAGTCTAGTCTATAGTCTAGTCTATAGTCTAGTCTATAGTCTAGTCTATAGTCTAGTCTATAGTCTAGTCTATAGTCTAGTCTATAGTCTAGTCTATAGTCTAGTCTATAGTCTAGTCTATAGTCTAGTCTATAGTCTAGTCTATAGTCTAGTCTATAGTCTAGTCTATAGTCTAGTCTATAGTCTAGTCTATAGTCTAGTCTATAGTCTAGTCTATAGTCTAGTCTATAGTCTAGTCTATAGTCTAGTCTATAGTCTAGTCTAGTCTATAGTCTAGTCTATAGTCTAGTCTATAGTTTAGTCTACAGTCTAGTCTATAGTCTAGTCTATAGTCTAGCCTATAGTCTAGTCTATAGTCTAGTATAGTCTAGTCTATAGTCTAGTCTATAGTCTAGTCTATAGTCTAGTCTATAGTCTAGTCTATAGTCTAGTCTATAGTCTAGTCTGTAGTCTAGTCTTTAGTCTAGTCTATAGTCTAGTCTATAGTCTAGTCTGTAGTCTAGTCTTTAGTCTAGTCTATAGTCTAGTCTATAGTCTAGTCTATAGTCTAGTCTATAGTCTAGTCTATAGTCTAGTCTATAGTCTAGTCTATAGTCTAGTCTATAGTCTAGTCTATAGTCTAGTCTATAGTCTAGTCTATAGTCTAGTCTATAGTCTAGTCTATAGTCTAGTCTATAGTCTAGTCTATAGTCTAGTCTATAGTCTAGTCTATAGTCTAGTCTATAGTCTAGTCTATAGTCTAGTCTATAGTCTAGTCTATAGTCTAGTCTATAGTCTAGTCTATAGTCTAGTCTATAGTCTAGTCTATAGTCTAGTCTATAGTCTAGTCTATAGTCTAGTCTATAGTCTAGTCTATAGTCTAGTCTATAGTCTAGTCTATAGTCTAGTCTATAGTCTAGTCTATAGTCTAGTCTATAGTCTAGTCTATAGTCTAGTCTATAGTCTAGTCTATAGTCTAGTCTATAGTCTAGTCTATAGTCTAGTCTATAGTCTAGTCTATAGTCTAGTCTATAGTCTAGTCTATAGTCTAGTCTATAGTCTAGTCTATAGTCTAGTCTATAGTCTAGTCTATAGTCTAGTCTATAGTCTAGTCTATAGTCTAGTCTATAGTCTAGTCTATAGTCTAGTCTATAGTCTAGTCTATAGTCTAGTCTATAGTCTAGTCTATAGTCTAGTCTATAGTCTAGTCTATAGTCTAGTCTATAGTCTAGTCTATAGTCTAGTCTATAGTCTAGTCTATAGTCTAGTCTATAGTCTAGTCTATAGTCTAGTCTATAGTCTAGTCTATAGTCTAGTCTATAGTCTAGTCTATAGTCTAGTCTATAGTCTAGTCTATAGTCTAGTCTATAGTCTAGTCTATAGTCTAGTCTATAGTCTAGTCTATAGTCTAGTCTATAGTCTAGTCTATAGTCTAGTCTATAGTCTAGTCTATAGTCTAGTCTATAGTCTAGTCTATAGTCTAGTCTATAGTCTAGTCTATAGTCTAGTCTATAGTCTAGTCTATAGTCTAGTCTATAGTCTAGTCTATAGTCTAGTCTATAGTCTAGTCTATAGTCTAGTCTATAGTCTAGTCTATAGTCTAGTCTATAGTCTAGTGTATAATCTAGTCTATAGTCTAGTCTATAGTCTAGTCTATAGTCTAGTCTATAGTCTAGTCTATAGTCTAGTCTATAGTCTAGTCTATAGTCTAGTCTATAGTCTAGTCTATAGTCTAGTCTATAGTCTAGTCTATAGTCTAGTCTATAGTCTAGTCTATAGTCTAGTCTATAGTCTAGTCTATAGTCTAGTCTATAGTCTAGTCTATAGTCTAGTCTATAGTCTAGTCTATAGTCTAGTCTATAGTCTAGTCTATAGTCTAGTCTATAGTCTAGTCTATAGTCTAGTCTATAGTCTAGTCTATAGTCTAGTCTATAGTCTAGTCTATAGTCTAGTCTATAGTCTAGTCTATAGTCTAGTCTATAGTCTAGTCTATAGTCTAGTCTATAGTCTAGTCTATAGTCTAGTCTATAGTCTAGTCTATAGTCTAGTCTATAGTCTAGTCTATAGTCTAGTCTATAGTCTAGTCTATAGTCTAGTCTATAGTCTAGTCTATAGTCTAGTCTATAGTCTAGTCAAGTCTAGTCTATAGTCTAGTCTATAGTCTAGTCTATAGTCTAGTCTATAGTCTAGTCTATAGTCTAGTCTATAGTCTAGTCTATAGTCTAGTCTATAGTCTAGTCTATAGTCTAGTCTATAGTCTAGTCTATAGTCTAGTCTATAGTCTAGTCTATAGTCTAGTCTATAGTCTAGTCTATAGTCTAGTCTATAGTCTAGTCTATAGTCTAGTCTATAGTCTAGTCTAGTCTAGTCTATAGTCTAGTCTATAGTCTAGTCTATAGTCTAGTCTATAGTCTAGTCTATAGTCTAGTCTATAGTCTAGTCTATAGTCTAGTCTATAGTCTAGTCTATAGTCTAGTCTATAGTCTAGTCTATAGTCTAGTCTATAGTCTAGTCTATAGTCTAGTCTATAGTCTAGTCTATAGTCTAGTCTATAGTCTAGTCTATAGTCTAGTCTAGTCTAGTCTATAGTCTAGTCTATAGTCTAGTCTATAGTCTAGTCTATAGTCTAGTCTATAGTCTAGTCTATAGTCTAGTCTATAGTCTAGTCTATAGTCTAGTCTATAGTCTAGTCTATAGTCTAGTCTATAGTCTAGTCTATAGTCTAGTCTATAGTCTAGTCTATAGTCTAGTCTATAGTCTAGTCTATAGTCTAGTCTATAGTCTAGTCTATAGTCTAGTCTATAGTCTAGTCTATAGTCTAGTCTATAGTCTAGTCTATAGTCTAGTCTAGTCTAGTCTATCTAGTCTAGTCTATAGTCTAGTCTATAGTCTAGTCTATAGTCTAGTCTATAGTCTAGTCATAGTCTAGTCTATAGTCTAGTCTATAGTCTAGTCTATAGTCTAGTCTATAGTCTAGTCTATAGTCTAGTCTATAGTCTAGTCTATAGTCTAGTCTATAGTCTAGTCTATAGTCTAGTCTATAGTCTAGTCTATAGTCTAGTCTATAGTCTAGTCTATAGTCTAGTCTATAGTCTAGTCTATAGTCTAGTCTATAGTCTAGTCTATAGTCTAGTCTATAGTCTAGTCTATAGTCTAGTCTATAGTCTAGTCTATAGTCTAGTCTATAGTCTAGTCTATAGTCTAGTCTATAGTCTAGTCTATAGTCTAGTCTATAGTCTAGTCTATAGTCTAGTCTATAGTCTAGTCTATAGTCTAGTCTATAGTCTAGTCTATAGTCTAGTCTATAGTCTAGTCTATAGTCTAGTCTATAGTCTAGTCTATAGTCTAGTCTATAGTCTAGTCTATAGTCTAGTCTATAGTCTAGTCTATAGTCTAGTCTATAGTCTAGTCTATAGCTAGGTCTATCGTCTAGTCTATAGTCTAGTCTATAGTCTAGTCTCTAGTCTAGTCTATAGTCTAGGTCTAGTCTATAGTCTAGTCTATAGTCTAGTCTATAGTCTAGTCTATAGTTCTAGATCTATAGTCTAGTTCATAGTCTAGTCGATAGTCTAGTCTATAGTCTAGTCTATAGTCTAGTCTATAGTCTAGTCTATAGTCTCGTCTATAGGTCTAGTCTATAGTTCTCTAGTCCGGTCTATAGTCTAGGTCTTATAGTCTAGTCTATAGGTCTAGTCTATAGTCTAGTCTATAGTCTAGTCTATAGTCTAGCTTATCGTCTAGTCTATAGTCTAGGTCTATCGTCTAGTCTATAGTTAGGCTAAGTTCTAAGTCTATAAGTCTAGTCTATAGTCTAGTCTATAGTCTAGTCTATAGTCTAGTCTTTGTCTAGTATGTCTAGGTCTTATAGTTCTAGGCTCTAGTTAGTCGCTAGTTAGCTATAGTCTAAGTCCATAGTCTGTCTAGTCTATTTCTATAGTCTAGTCTATACGTCTAGTCTATAGTACTAGTCTATAGTCTAGTCTATAGTCTAGTTCCTATAGTCTATGTCTATAGTCTATTCTATAAGTCTAGTCTATAGTCTAGTCTATAGTCTAGTCATAGTCTAGTCTATAGTTCTAGCTCTAGTCTAGTCTATAGTCTAGTCTATAGTCTAGTCTATAGTCTAGTCTATAGTCTAGTCCTATAGTCTAGTCTATAGTCTAGTCTATAGTCTAGTCTATAGTCTAGTCTATAGTCTAGTCTATAGTCTAGTCTATAGTCTAGTCTATAGTCTAGTCTATAGTCTAGTCTATAGTCTAGTCTATAGTCTAGTCTATAGTCTAGTCTTATAGTCTAGTCTATAGTCTAGTCTATCGTCTAGTCTATAGTCTAGTCTATAGTCTAGTCTATAGTCTAGTCTATAGTCTAGTCTATAGTCTAGTCTATAGTCTAGTCTATAGTCTAGTCTATAGTCTAGTCTATAGTCTAGTCCATAGTCTAGTCTATAGTCTATTCTTAGTCTAGTCTATAGTCTAGTCTATAGTCTAGTCTATAGTCTAGTCTATAGTCTAGTCTATAGTCTAGTCTATAGTCTAGTCTATAGTCTAGTCTATAGTCTAGTCTATAATCTAGTCTATACTCTAGTCTATACTCTAGTCTATACTCTAGTCTATACTCTAGTCTATACTCTAGTCTATACTCTAGTCTATAGTTTAGTCTATAGTCTAGTCTATAGTCTCGTCTATAATCTAGTATATAGTGAAATATAGCTTTTTAATAAATATCAATTTTTCTCTTTTTTATATAAATTTTATTCATAATTTATAAATATTTTATACATAAATATTTTTTCTGTTTTGATTGGCGTTATATAATAATCTCTAAAAAAATTTTCTTAAAAATAGAATTCATAAATATTAGTTGTATGATAAATGTTTAAAAATACACGTATAATTTAAAAATGCTTAATGAAATATATTTACAAAATGTACCTAAGCCAATAAATAATGAAAATGCATTGATAGGTTTTCTTAAAACAAAAATTAATAAAATAAAAAATAAATACTTATAAATGATGGTTTAACCAAAAATAATTTCTAAAAAAAGAAAAAAAGTAAATGTTCAACAATTAAAATTATTCAGAGAAATTATTTTTGGTTAGTTATTAAAGAAAACAACAAAAGTAGAAAAATTTTTGAGCTTTACTGTAAGGTACACAGCAGAGACAAAAACCTTTAGCCAAAGTTAAAAATTGAAAGGTTAAAATATAGACTAAATTTCCTTTATTAAATGAAAGGAAATTTGTGTGATTGTTACCATGGGAAATTTGGTTGTTTTAAATAAATTTCCCTTTTAGGAATTTATTTACCAAATTTCCCTTTTTAGTTGGGAAACAAACCTTGAAAGGGAAATTATATCGAAGGTTTGCCTTGTAGCTAAATTTCCTTTTGGTTTAATTTTAGTATGAAAAATTTCCCTCTGTGGTTTGTGTTTCTGCTAAATGCTGCTCTTCGTTAAATTTACACTTTTGTTGTCTTATGCAATCTTTTACAATTTGACGATTTGTGTGTGTTTAGTGTAGTCTCCCACCCTTTAATTGTGATTCCCCATATTTTTCTTATTCGCGCAGTATTTTTCTTGCATTATATTTTCACTACCCGCTATTACAGCAGAATCTTCAGTGATGGGACATAAATTCAGATGCATATGAGGTGATTCTAATGATTCAACATGAACGTTCGATATAAATATTCTAGGTGATGATAGAATACGCCAGGTGAGCGGATTAAACAGACTTGTTTGATATTCCCAAAATACACTGGCGTAGACAGGATCTTTAATATATTTGCCGGCCACCATGGAACTGTATTCGTGAGTGGGTTCGAAATACATGGGTTTCGGGGAGAATTTCATTTTCTCTGTCGTTCTTTTGCGATTTTTACCATGTAAACGCACGGATAAAGTGCCAATTTCACCGCCATGCGAGGTACTTTCATCATGACCCGAAACGTGGACTGTAACTTTATAATGGTGGCCTGTAATAAGAAGAAAATTTGTGAGTTAGTTTTATATTTTAATTAAGATTTATTTGAAATTTTTAATACTTACGACAATAGGGTGGATGATCACCGGTCATCAAATATAATATGGGTGGCTTTTCTGGATTTATCTTTTCCTGCTGCGTTAAACGTTTATAGTCCTCCAAAGTATAATAACCCATGCGCATACATTGATGACCATTTTCATCACATCTGGCACATTTTCCCTCCTGGAAACTTTCATACGAATCACAGGTTATGGCCATAAAGGGACATTTACTTTTTATACTCTCCGTAAAGTATTGATAACTTCTAATATGATTGCAACCCAAAAACTGTTGCATATTAGCGAATACGGAATTTTGACGATTGCGCATATAATCTTGCAATTTAGCATCACAACCCGGCATATTTATACCGCCATTGGGATAAAAGTCCACATGACCAACACGCTGATACAAGCCCAAACCGCCCAATAAATTGCCATCGGTATGTATAACATCTACAAAATGGGCATCAGATCTATCTAAACGTACTATAGGATCAGTTTCAGCAAATAAAGGGGCAGCCGGATCTAAAGCTGTAATGCGAGCCAATTTCAAGCCAAAATCGGTTTGTAAATAAGAACCAGTATAACCGGCCACGTGTGAACCCAAAGAGTGGCCAATAAAATGGAAATTACTTAAATCCTTTAAGCCCAATTCCTCATAAACCATGTGTATAACATGAGCAGTAATAGCCCCCACTAAACGTATATTGGCTACGGCCTGAACATAAGGAGGGCTGGAGCCACCGCCCCAATCAATAAGCACTACTGCAGCCTCACCTTCCGGCTCATGGCTCAATATAGTTTTAGCCAATTCTACCATCTAAAAAGGTAAATGATAAAAATTTAGTTTATTTTAAAAAGATTTCAAAATGTTTCCTTAACTTACCCATGGAACATTTCCCGCTTCCAAATAGCCATGCGATAAAAAGAATATTTTTCCCTTAGGATTAATGCCCATATGTTGCACTGCCTCGGGATCATTTAAATCTATATATTTGGGTTGATCAAATGCTCGTGTGGTATACAAAGTATAATGTGGTTCTATTTGGGAAGGTTTTTGAGGATGTACATTAATCTGACGGGTCTTAGCAGTCCAGGGACCATTTAATGGAAAGCAGCCATAAACACCATAACATTTTACTTCATTTGGATCTGAAAGAAATCATAATTTTATTATAAAATTTCTTTAAGTGTTTCTTTAAAAGTTTTAGCTTATCAATTTAATTCAATTATTCGTAAAACTATATTTTTTTTTTCTGTGGTAATTGTATTCTTCTAAATAATCTCTCATGCTTGAACCCTTCAAGTACGTTGTTATTGGATTGATAGATAACCCGGTTATATATTTTTTTGCATTTTTTATTATTTATGGTTCAATGCGTCTAAATATTTACAATTGTCTTTTTTTGTTTTTTTTTTTTTTTTTTTTGTCTATTTTTAGTTTAATAGTTTTCATAAAGATGTATTATATTATATTAAAATTTTGTTACCAGGTTAATGATTTCTAAGTCGTTGTTTCTAGACAACAAATCATTAAATACAATTTTTTAATAATAAAATAACCCCTTGGTGACTAGGAAAGTTTTTGCAAAAGATTAAGTTTTGGAAAGTGTTAAAGTCATTTGATTACTTGAAATTTGTAAAAGTTTCTGAAATCTGTTTCAGGGTCTCTAAGATGTTCAATTATAATACAATGAAGCTTTTAGAGACCTTGATGTTTACAAATTATGAATGTATTTCATGCTTCATTAACCTGTTTTAAACCAGAGATGTACGGTGATCTGCATCGACTAAGTCCAAATAGTAGAATAATATATTAACTATCAAGAGAATTCAATAGCTTTTGTTTACTATTACGAGTACTATTAAAAAGCTTTTAATCATTAGCGGCATTCTTTAAATTCATTTTAAGTTTTAGCTGCTGCAAGCTGATCATGATGAAGCTTTTAGGTTCCCTAACATTAATAAATCTGAAGCGATCAACTAATACACTGGGTGGTTCTTTTATATATATATATATATATATATATATATATATATATATATATATATATATATATATATATATATATATATATATATATATATATATATATATATATATATATCTGTTTATTTGTACAGTTTTAGACCAGACTCCTGTCACAAACAGCTTAGAAGATCAATTTAGCGACAGCACTGTCAAGCTTAGAAGCTTTATTACCATGATTTTAAGCCGTTTTTCCAAAAGCATAGAGGTGAGTCCATGCCGGTTTTATAATAGTTCTTTACTTTAAATGTTGACCACTGAGAAATTTCTTAAAAGTCGATAACTGAAAGCTTGTAGCAGATTTCAGAACAGTCGAACAGTTGCAACTTTAGTTAATGGATGACGGATCGTTGTAAGTCTTTATTTTGAACCTACCAATAATAGTTTTAGGACTGATCTCTTCGAGCCTATTAAACGATCGATTGATACTGATTGTCAGTTTATTAAGTCTCCATTTTGAATACCAAGAGCAAATTTAAATTAAATTGTTTGGTCTATTTGTAATTTACAGTTATTATCAAAAAGTCTGACTTCTTCGATCAGAAGTGATTTAAAATATGTTGAAAAGTATGAATTGTACAGCAGTGGGGTCCTAAACCTAAAGATCTGCATATTTTCAAAACGAAAGTTATTTCCACGAGAACATAACCTTTCACTCCATTAAGTTGATCTTTACTTGACAATCGATGGCCTTGTGAAAACCGAGAACTGATTTTAGACAACAGTCACAATAGTCTCAAATATGAACATATAGGAAAAGGAAGAAACAAGCTTGGTTGTTTTTAAAGGATCGACTATAATTTGAAACTTTTTGACCATATTTGATCTTGTGAGGCTCCAGTACTTTTGGAGGAAATATAGAACTTCAGAGAAACGTTAGTTAAAGCTTACTTCATTAAAAATCTTCAGAGAAATACTCTGAAGTAAAATTAAACGACTTCCGATAAGTCTTACGCACAAAACTATGTCTGGTTCTCTGATGATACATTCAGCAAACATTTTTGGAGTACATAATCCATTTAGGTATTCCAAAAACTACTCCCCTGTAAATAATATTGGAGTACATGATCCGTTTAGAAGTGTTATGAAATGCAGGTATGGACCATGTTTATTCTTTTATTAAACTAGATGGTCCATGGTCTTCATTCCGGAGGACCATTTTGCGGATCATGTACTCCTATAATTTTGCAAAGGGAGTATTTTTGGGATTAGTCTGATATTATGAATGGATAGATTACGTGGTCCACATCTAGGACATTATAAAGATAATATTAAATGGAGTATGTCATACGTTTGGATTAGTTTCGCATCAGTCCTTTGAGGAGTAATCAATTTTGCAACTTAGATTCAGGAATATTTAAGAATCTGATATTACTACCCTTCTACAAATAAAAACTGCGTGAGTTGATTTTAAATTACACCTACTAGAGTCACAAATACCAAAACTAGAGGAAAGTAAACTTACTCAAAACTGGACTACTGACTAGTTCTTTAGGGACGAGAGTCAATTCTAGTTTAAACGTTTAAGTATTGTAGACAGACTAGTTGGAACCTCTTAGATTTATTTCAAAAAACTAAAACCTATTTTCATAAATTTTGAATTAGTTTAAAATGCATTAAATACATTAGAGACATATTTCGACCATTTAAGTACAGCAAACTAAAAGCCCTTTATTGGATTTCAGATCTCATTCTACAGCTGCTAACAGTTGCAGCCAAAGTATTCATAGATTTAATAGGTTCATAAATTCATATTTTTTTTTTATTAAACTTCTGATATTTCCTTTGAAGATAATGATGGTTTATAATAATAAAATAAATCGAGTTACAATTATTCATTATCAATAGGGTCTTTCCAACTGTAAATTAAAAATATAAAAGAAACAAGCTAATCTCATTTTTAATAAACTACATTATCTGCTAAATAAAATCAAAACCAACAAAGAAAAACCAAATGCAATAAATAGACTTAAAAGCAATCACTCACTATAAATAAAAAAAAGCCATTGCAACTAAGTAGAAACCTAACACGAGGTACTTTTTTTTGTAGCAACTAATTTTAAACACGTTAAATTGGCTCATACAACACAATAATTTGTTAAACAAAGAAATATAAGTTTACATTTTTTTTTTTTTTGTAATTTAAAACCAAAAAATGTAATCAATGAATTTTCCAGAAAAAAATTTTAAATTGTTTAAAGATTTCATATACATTAGAGTTTAAAAGCTCTTACTTACCACTTTTAGGGGCAGGAGGTAGATCAATTAATGTGTTCACAGCAGCTCGGCTAGTATGATTTGCCAAATACAACATGGTCTGCAACATGAGACCACCAGTGGAATTTGCAACATACATTTTTCTTTAAAAAAAAATGTTTGTTGTCTTTTGGTGCACAAAATATTACAACAGGAACTTGTTGTTTTGTTACTTTTTTTTAACAATTTTAAATTTCTTAAATTTAAAGGAAATTTAGAATTAATTAATATTTTTTAACCATAGGATTTATTATCACTTTTATTTTAGTTCATTAAATTGTCTGTGTTCTTTTTAATTAATTTAAATATTTGGTTTTTTGTTGTTGTTAATCTTATCTTTTTATTAGTTTTAATATAGTATTTTTTAAATTGATTTTCTTTTTTAAAGTTTAGCGTACTTTTTTTCTTAATATTTTTTTCTTTTTCTTAAACCTTGTCTTTTGTTGAAATTCACCGCTATACTAAGTTTAATTCACAGACATGTTCGATTTTATATATAAGCCCCGCTATGCTCTCAATCCTCTTTTCGATCAATCAATCTTTCGCTCTCGGTGACTTATTTTACTCTTTTATAGATCTCTTTGGTTGATTTTTTTTTTTTGTTTAATTCATTGTTTTTAAACTGATTATGATGAACGATCGTCTTGGCTGTGATGTTTATTATTTCTTGTTTTCATTAATAGTGGGTCTGTTTAGAGTTGCCATGAATCGGTAATTTTCTCATGGTAATGTCTTAACCGAATCTAGTTTGAACTTTTATGTTCAGCCGACTTTTGACTTTAACTTGATGATAGCATATTTAGATCTGCCATGAAAAATTCATGCCAGACTATCTGTGGCCTCCGGTAGGTTAGTGGCTAGCGTTCTAGTCTGGTAGGCCTGGGGCAAACGTTAAGGAGCACACGACGGGCCCCATAGAGCACATATATTTTTAAATTAATTTTAAACTAATTATCTGTAGACTATACTATAGATTAGCCTACAGACTAGACTATAGACTAGACTTTAGACTAGACTATAGACTAGACTATGGACTAGACTATAGACTAGACTATAGACTAGACTATAGACTAGACTATAGACTAGACTATAGACTAGACTATAGACTAGACTATAGACTAGACTATAGACTAGACTATAGACTAGACCATAGACTAGACTATAGACTACACTATAGACTACACTATAGACTAGACTATAGACTAGACTATAGACTAGACTATAGACTAGACTATAGACTAGACTATAGACTAGACTATAGACTAGACTATAGACTAGACTATAGACTAGACTATAGACTAGACTATAGACTAGACTATAGACTAGACTATAGACTAGACTATAGACTAGACTATAGACTAGACTATAGACTAGACTATAGACTAGACTATAGACTAGACTATAGACTATACTATAGACTAGACTATAGACTAGACTATAGACTAGACTATAGACTAGACTATAGACTAGACTATAGACTAGACTATAGACTAGACTATAGACTAGACTATAGACTAGACTATAGACTAGACTATAGACTAGACTATAGACTAGACTATAGACTAGACTATAGACTAGACTATAGACTAGACTATAGACTAGACTATAGACTAGACTATAGACTAGACTATAGACTAGAGTATAGACTAGACTATAGACTAGACTATAGACTAGACTATAGACTAGACTATAGACTAGACTATAGATTAGACTATAGACTAGACCATAGACTAGACTATAGACTAGACTATAGACTAGACTATAGATTAGACTATAGACTAGACTATAGACTAGACTATAGACTAGACTATAGACTAGACTATAGACTAGACTATAGACTAGTTTATAGACTAGACTATAGACTAGACTATAGACTAGACTATAGACTAGTTTATAGACTAGACTATAGACTAGACTATAGACTAGACTATAGACTAGACTAGACTAGACTATAGACTAGACTATAGACTAGACTATAGACTAGACTATAGACTAGACTATAGACTAGACTATAGACTAGACTATAGACTAGACTATAGACTAGACTATAGACTAGACTATAGACTAGACTATAGACTAGACTATAGACTAGACTATAGACTAGACTAGACTAGACTATAGACTAGACTATAGACTAGACTATAGACTAGACTATAGACTAGACTATAGACTAGACTATAGACTAGACTATAGACTAGACTATAGACTAGACTATAGACTAGACTATAGACTAGACTATAGACTAGACTATAGACTAGACTATAGACTAGACTATAGACTAGACTATAGACTAGACTATAGACTAGACTATAGACTAGACTATAGACTAGACTATAGACTAGACTATAGACTAGACTATAGACTAGACTATAGACTAGACTATAGACTAGACTATAGACTAGACTATAGACTAGACTATAGACTAGACTATAGACTAGACTATAGACTAGACTAGACTAGACTATAGACTAGACTATAGACTAGACTATAGACTAGACTATAGACTAGACTATAGACTAGACTATAGACTAGACTATAGACTAGACTATAGACTAGACTATAGACTAGACTATAGACTAGACTATAGACTAGACTATAGACTAGACTATAGACTAGACTATAGACTAGACTATAGACTAGACTATAGACTAGACTATAGACTAGACTATAGACTAGACTATAGACTAGACTATAGACTAGACTATAGACTAGACTATAGACTATAGACTATAGACTAGACTAGACTAGAGACTAGACTATAGACTAGACTATAGACTATAGACTAGACTAGAGACTAGACTATAGACTAGACTATAGACTAGACTATAGACTAGACTATAGACTAGACTATAGGCTAGACTATAGACTAGACTATAGACTAGACTATAGACTAGACTATAGACTAGACTGTAGACTAGACTATAGACTAGACTATAGACTAGACTATAGACTAGACTATAGACTAGACTATAGACTAGACTATAGACTAGACTATAGACTAGACTATAGACTAGACTATAGACTAGACTATAGACTAGACTATAGACTAGACTATAGACTAGACTATAGACTAGACTATAGACTAGACTATAGACTAGACTATAGACTAGACTATAGACTAGACTATAGACTAGACTATAGACTAGACTATAGACTAGACTATAGACTATAGACTAGACTATAGACTAGACTATAGACTAGACTATAGACTAGACTATAGACTAGACTATAGACTGTTCGAAAATTCCAATTCCGAGTTTTAAAAATCCTCAACAATCCTCATGATTTACCAACCTGGTAACCCTTTTCTTTCACTTGCTCACTTGCAAAGAGTGTTTGCCTGCACTCGTGCTGCTCACTTTATTTTTACTGATATGAGGAGTATCATTGGGGATCGTCATCATGAGTGGCCACTGGTTGCTTGCTGATCGGTATTTCGTCTTATTGATATTTTTTTTTCTACACATGAATTATGAGAATTTTGCCGGCTTTCAACTGATCGTAAAGTGGTTCAGTTTTTTTTATTTTTTTGCGGTTGTTTAGTTTCTATTGAATGCGTATGATCTTGGGTTATGTTTTTTGTTTTTTTTGTGGACTCACTGCTGGGCTTGAGCTTAATGCAATAGTGTTTTTCAGTTGTACATGTTTTTAATCACATTTTGTTTTTTTTTTTCATTCTTGTTTTTGCGCTTAACTGCAAAAATAAAACGGAAAAGTTCATTTGCTGCATTGACGTGCGCATTGCGCATTTTTTAATATGCACATATTTGTAGTGCACTGCGAGAAAAGGGTGGGGGTTAGAAACTTTGATGTCTTAGAATTTGAATTTTATATGATAATTAAAAGAAATATTTTGTTAGAAAACTTATCAATATTCTAGACCGAAGGTATCAATTACGGGATCGCTACAAAATTTTGCTTTGGGAAGAGATCGACTCTACTTCGAAAACCTTAATTAAGGAGACCTGTCTCTATAACTTGGCCTACTTTTAGAAAATGTCTTAAATCTGGTTCATCATTTGTCATCTTATTTTAAACCAAATTTCCAAAAAACATTTGCGACATCGAAAATATTAGTAGTTCTTACCCGTTGCCAATAGAAATATTCTGAACCGATTTTAAACGGCTTAAGTTTCGAATACAAACCACTTTCGTTTTGATCGCTTTCCGATAGATTCTGCTGATATTCAACTAACATCCATTTCTCATCCACTGTGCAAGTCACCCGCTTGTGACTTGTAAAGGAGACTCAGTAAACAATTTTTTACACTATTTATACGGGTCATGTACTTTGCTCAAGTATTAAAGTTATCGAAACCCCGTACCAAATGAAGGCTATCGTCAATGTAATGATGCATTCCCCTCGCAACTACACTATTGCGATAAATATTCTTGATTCAACTACAGCATCTGGAGATATATATTCGATAATCCAAAATATATCATCAAGATCCCTAGTAAACTCTCCACGAAATTAAATCGAACCAAATAATCGCCCCACTGGAACAGGATTTCATTGCGACAGTTGTTCAGCCAAACTAAGATTTTCCCTAAATTATAACGAGCATACATCCAGACAAATACCCGACTCGTAGAGGCAGTCACTGACCGACTGAAGGGCGGTCGTAAACCCTAACAATTCAATGTATTCCACATAGTCACATTACAGATATGGTTGACACCACAATATCACCGAAACACTTAGACAAAGTATTTGTATATATCAGACCTTTAACCAATACTTTCTTCCCGATATTGGGTTTTAACCACAGCTACCTCTTTCACTATAAATAACCAGGGCAGGATATGTCCGGCGGGCAACTGATCAGAGATTCCTACAGTTTGAAATAGTGGCCAACCCGAGGTACTGATAGCACATTTTTACCCCGGGGTTGAAATAACACTAAGATGTGGGATGATCCACCAAGGAAACCTGACCCTTCGGGAAAACTTTGACAAATGAATATAATCACGCGATACTCTAGAAATATAAATTTCATAAAAATATATTTTACAATCTTTTAAAAGAATCTTGTTCTGACATTGTAATCTATAGATTCTGAATAAAATTCCTTGGAATCCGAATTTCATAGAATCCTTGAAATAAGAAAAGCGTTTAAACGGCAAAACAATGAGAAGTAAAATATATAATATTAATATTATGAGGACCTTTCAAAAGCTGTAAATAAACTGAAACCGAAAGTCGGGATATTGGCCTTTAAGACCAAAGTTTTGCTGCTAGATGGATTCTGACCAAACTATTTATGCTGTAATCTACCGCAGTATTCTTTAATATATCATCGTGACCTTTAAATTTCATGTTGCTTTATGATTCCTTCCTTTCAATCGATTAAGTTTTATGGGAACTAGTTAAAATTTGGCAATATTTTCATACTTTTTTGAACGAGGAAATCTTTTAAGCTAATTTTGCTCAAGGTTTCCAAAAAAAAAAACATTTTCAAATCAAAAAATTTC